TTGGTCCGGCATGCGCAGTGGCTTGTCAACCGTTACCTTTGCGGCACTGACGGTACCGCGGCTTTTGAGCGACGTTGGAAAAAGCGCTACTCCGGCCTTCTTTGTCGCTTTGGCGAAACTGTACCTTTCCGCAAGCCTCACCCTACTAGGGGTCGTGCCGCTTTTGTTCCGGGAGGGGCTGGGCAAGGACACAGAGTCGGATCAGCACTTTGTTGCTGACGCTACTGGTGTCTTTAAGACCCGCAGTGCAAGCGCCACGCGCACTCCCGGCAGTCGGCAACCCATTCCCCCACCGACCCTGTGTCTCTGTGACCTGTGATCCCCGCTCCCCCACCCCGGCCCTCCGTCCCCGGCCCCTCCCCAAGTCGGACGAGATGTCCTGTCGTTGGACCTCGGACATCCTCCAGCGTGTCCATCGCTGAAACCATTCAAGAACCCTTGCACGCGGGTCCTGCGACTCCGCGTCATCAAACGAGAGAGCTTTGTACATCTGAAACAGCGTGTCTCGATCCAGTGTGACATGAAGCTGCACAAGCGGGCTTTCAATCGATATGCCTCAAGACCAATGAGGCGCCGACGGTCTCATCGTCCAGGTCTCACCACGCATCTGATCCACCAGACCATGGCTACTCTGCAGTCTGCCAACCCTATATATGTGACTGCATTCCGGCAAAACCCGAGTCTCTACAAACCGAGCCTGTGTTGCAGAAAAATCTGGATAACCCTCGCAACAATGCACTCGCCAAGTCTGGTTTTCAGTCTCGCCCCGGTCCAGCTCGTGAGTCTCTGTGCATCGTTGCTGTGCTTGCAGGTCCATCCCGAGGCTTGTCATCTACTAGCCTTATTAGCCGTCGTATGCTGAGGCAACAAGGACATTGTCCCTCCCCCAATGTCCTGAGGGGATGTCAGGTCCTTCAAGCACGTGTTTTGGGTGCATGGAAGCTCCATAACTAAGGGGTGGGTGGCATCCTTCAACGTTGATGCCACGCGATCCTGATGTAAGCTATGTTTGGGGACCTCCGAAAATGGACTGCCAATTTCCGGGTACCCCCAGCCTAAAAGGGGGGTGACGGTCGTCCCTCAGCCGGCTCGGGCAGTTGCACCTACCATCAATGATGCACCTGCGAAGTCGTCTCCTTCCATGTCACCATCAAAAGCAAGTTTGCCTGACGCACGACTTCAAAAAACAATATTGAGCCCAATTATGTTCGCATTGACCATTGTTTTCACAGAATGAGTTTGTTTTTATGCGCAAGAGTACAGGGAAGATGTCGAGACCGGGGCTTGTGGCGGCCCGGCGAGGCTCGCCTCCGACATCGGCGGCATAGACGGCGGTTCCTTCGACGTGCTCCGAAGCCCTCGCTGCGCGGAACTTGGTGTGGCTGGGCCAATCGGGGACGCCGCATCGGAGAAGCCTCCAACCCTGAGCCTGTGGCTCCTGACCCCGCCTTGGCGGCGAGTGAAAGCCTCGGCGACGTCAACATCGTCAACGCGACGACCTTGATCGCATGGAGGTAGAGGCTGCTGATGATCCGAATGCAGCCAGCAGACGGGCTGGGTCTTTGCAGGGAGATGTGCCGGATGCTTGGCTGCAAAGACGAAGTCGCCATCGCTGCGTGGTGTGCGGTCACACAGCGTGTCCAGGCATCCAGCTTCTGAGCTTTCAGGAGATTGTCGCTGCGCGCACCCCCACCCTGGCATATGCCCGGGCAGGCTCGTCACCTCTGGGCCCGGGCCTTGACCCGCTCGCTGCTGTCACTCACCGCAATGACGAAGCCTGTTGGCGTGAAATTCTCATGCTCCCCCAATCGGTCTTGGATCCGCTGCGCCGTGGGGGCAAACAACACACCAAGGCAGCTGCCACGCAGCCGCCGCCAGCAAGCTCAGCGCCAGGACCTCGCCACGGTTTCGAGGGCACGGCCTGTGCTGCCCTTTTGTGCACTGGGCAGGCGCCGGACTACCTGGAGACCACTGCGACCATTCAGCCCTCCACCCTGTGCTTGCTAGTGCCAGCTGCGCACCAATTGCCCCCCACGCCCGAGTTGGTGCCTGACGTCGTGGCCAAAGCTTTGCGCAGCTTCAATGGTCAACGCGGCCTCCGCGCCTGGACCTTCTGGTCTCCGTGTTCAACATCTTCGTGACACCTGTGCTCCAAGCTCTTCGAAAGCTTTGCATGAGCATCTGGCAGCTGTGCTCAACCTCCTTGCTCAAGGGCAGGCAAGTCCAACTGCAGCTGCTACCTTGGCAGGCGTTGGCTTAGTGGCGATCCCGATGCCTCATGGTGGGGTCAGGCCTGTCCCCTTTTGGCGAAGTTTTCCAGCGCCTGGCTGGCAAAATGTTTGATGCACCACGTCTGCAGCGCAGGCACGGGAGCTTTTCTTCCCAACACAACTGGGGGTCGCGGTTCCGGCTGTGGGGCGGAGGTCGCGGTCCACGCCGTGCGCGCTTGGATGGACAGACACACGGGTGGGCGCAAAATCTTGCTGAAACTCTACTTTGAGAACGCGTTCAACTGCATAAGCGGGAGGCCGTCCTCGCTGCTGCCAGGGACCACTTTCAATCCTGCACTCTCCTGCTAAGTGGCTTGGACGTACTCGATGTTGCCGGACTTCAGCCTGAACGCGAAAAGCCACAGGTGCTACTGCCCCAATGTGTGGAAGACCATGCCATGGGTTGGACCGCAGGCGCCCCGCAGACATCTTAAGACCTTCACACTCCCGTTGCATGTGATCTGCCGTAACCGGCCCCAGTGACTGGAGACCTTGGCAGAAGCCTCACGGAAGAGCCTCGCTGCGGCGACCTTCTATGCCGCCGTGAAAGATTTGAAAGGCTCACATGGACACTGCTGCGACCTGCCAAGCGCAGGGTGTCAGATTCTTCCCTTACCCGCGAAGGTGCAGATCCTGCAGCCTTACATGGAACTCCTTCAGGAGCTCTGCGTGGTCGCCCGCGGCTTCCGCGCAATAGCCGTGCTGCACGGAAGAGCTGAGCTGGCCGCGCGTCTGCGTCCGGCACAGTGCAGTCCGCTTCCGCCAGTTTGCTCGCGACTGCAGAATCCTGAGCTCTTCTCTGGGGGGTCTACGTCGCGTGAGCGCGTACAGCGTTGAACGCCTGCTGGCTGGGGATATCCCCGCGATCGTGAGACCACTGCGGAGGTCAGTGGCCATCTGTGTGGCGCTACTGCACGATACTGCACATTCTGGCCCTGGAACGTCTTGGACTACCTTTTCTTGTTGGGTCCCATGTGCTTGAGGTGCTTGGGTATGCGTTCAGCCTGGTCTATACTTCCCTTACAAGCCATTGCTGTAGTACAGCCTCTCGGCCTTTAAGCAGAGCCCTACACAGTATTGTGACTACCGACGTGCGTCGTCCACGTCAAAAAAACAATGCTTGCTGGACTGCAGCCCTTCTTTCCTTAATCCTCATGTCTGCACCGTTCTACTGTTCAAAGTTGACAGGCCATGGCCCAATTTCATGATGGATGCCCATGCAAACACAGCTTTAACTACATTGCATGTAGCTGTGTAGCTAAGGAGCCGTGTTTCAGCACCAGAAACATTGCTTGGATGTGCGGGCATCATGGCACAATCAATTACACCATGCATAATGTGAAACAAGACCACAGTGACATCGGTGCTAGTGTTGGCATTGTGGCTACTGGAACTGTGAAGGCCGCAGTCGTTTTTAAACCAATGTGCAAGCCAAAGCTATCACACCGATGGTTCGACTGCCAGAATTCCCCTCTGCAGAAAAACGGCTCCACAGTCCAACAACATGGGAGATTATAGCGGTGGTACGACGCTGGGACTGTGGGATTGGAGAACCACTGCCGACCGAAACTGTGCCACTGAGCCGTGAAACATCATGAAACAATTGACTTCCAAGCTGTGGCGACTCCTATTGGTTTCCGATCACACAAGTGCCGAGTTAAACTATGGTTCTTTGCTTTGTTACACACCACAGCAGAGAACCACCAACATGTTATCCCTTCCAGCACTCGTCACATCACCTACTGTCGCACAGGTCACCGTTCGGTGAGACCTCAGGCGGTTGTTGACGACACTGTGATAAAAGTCCTTGGCTTCACACTCTACTCCTGATTGTAATGACAAGGTCAAACCTCGAGTGGCACACCTTCGTCGGCCGAGGCAGACCAGTGCAGCCAGCCATTGTCCCAAGTCGCCGGGTGTATGTACATGAAGAATGTCCGTGATAAGTTGGCTCCTCGTCGTGGCCAGTCGTCTACAGTTATGCAGTCGCCTTGCATTGGGCGGGTGTGACAAAATCCTGTTGTCATGTCAGTAGTCACAGCGAGTCGGACAACGCTATGATGTTGAATTAACCGCCACCGGAGGACCACCTGCATGAGTTCAGGGGTTGCTTCCGACGACGCGGAGCCTCACCGTGCAAACATGGTGTTTCGCTGGCGTGCTGGTATGCATTCAGCTAACAGAAAACGGGCAATGTTTCCTCCAGCTTCAGACCACAAGCTGGAAAGGCATTAAATTACATCCGGTCTCGAAACACATAGCGCGAGCGTCAGTTTCGACGTGTGTCTAAGTATGACTGCATGATACCGCACGTGCATCCATTACATACTTCTTGCATCGTCTTTCTACAGCGTGAGCCATTTGCTTGTTGGTCTACCTGTCGATCTACGGGTCTGTCTGCTACCAGTACCTGTCCATCACCCGTACTGCGTGTCATCGGCGCAAATAGCGGCAGAGTCTGGATCCGGTATTGGCGAACTTTCACTTTACTCCGCTGCACAGGAGCCTCTGGACCTAGCGGGACGGTTCTTTACCCAGCTGGCAGCCTCGCTGCGGGTGTCCTGTCAGGGCTCAGGGAAGGTACATGCCGAGGGAGTTTGGGTCCAGGCGCCAGATGGCTCCATTAACGTGAGGTGCAAGACCGCAGACAACTTGCAAACTGACATGGTGAAGTCATACTGTAATGGCTTTGTGGCTTTTCGTGGGCTAACTTGGCCGGCCACTAACAGACTCACAGCTTCACTTGGATGGCAGCATCTGGTTCCATGGCATCCTGGTCACGTGGCATTGCCCGTTTCCTTTCGTGGGGCTCATTTCAGATCTCGGCATGACCGGTATAAGGCTCGGGAGGGTTATCAAGCCAAAGCCAGCCAAAGCCACCAGTGCTGACCTCTCACCCGATCGCGTTTATTGAGGTGCGAAGTCCCAACGAGGTGGGTCGCATGTGGAAGGGGTACTTGGAGTGCGCGCTGGATGGGCACAACCCGTGGAAGGCGACACCAGCCTGGGAGGTTCTGGATTCCAGAAATGCTCTGGGGGGGAGAGGTAGGATGCATCAGATCGATAACGGAGTGTCGGCATGCACACTCGTGCGTGACGATAGAAGCTCCAGATGCCGTTAGTTTGTTTTTTCTGTTTTTTTTCTGGACCCTCTTGTCGTGAAGCCTGGCCTGCCCTGTGCGAGTGTAAGCGAAAGCAAAGAACGAGGGATCCTACCGGTGCACGCAGAATCCTACTGCCGTTTGCTTAACAACAAATCTGTCCGGAAGGCGGCCATGAACAATCTAATACTTGACGTATAGTTTAACGGCGAAGGAGAGAAGCCTTGAACCTGGCAGGAGCTCGGCAACACCCTTCAGCTGGGCCCACTCGGCATAGCGAGGACTTGTACTTCCTAGAGCTTGGTGTTCGTTTGAAGAACACGTGATGCTGACAGGCGCGTGAACCCATTCAGCGCGTTCTTCCAGAAGCTGGTTTATCTTCGCCCGTATCAGTGGAGAGAGCTCTTCCATGTTTTGGAACTCGCAGGCTGTCACCACTTAAAAACCTACCATCCTCGCAACAGTTCGCATCATAGTTTCTGCTTCACCACGTGCAGTGCCCGGCGTTGATGTGGCAAATGCCGTGTGTTCACGCTGAGTTAGTTGTGGTCACGCCTTTTTAAATGGAGAGCTCACTTCCGAAGACTGTCGATTCAAGCCGTGACTGAGGTGCCAATGTGCAAATCCGTTCCTATGCCCGCAGGACGGCGGTGGTCGGCTCCGCGAGAGCTTCCGTGCGTGTAACGAAGCGAGCCCTCGGTTTTGAGAGCTGCCTCGATTCTGCGCCTCGGTCTTCAATTAAAGCCTTGAAGGCAAGGGTCCGGGAAGGCTCCAATCGCCTTGCCCTGTTGGATTCTTCCGGCTGCTGCTTCCCGTTGTGTTTGCATCTGACCGAGTGGCTCTTTTCCAATGGACAGCTGCGTCTTGGGGAATTGTGTGGCTGTCTCATGTGCTTTCAAAGCGTTCAGCGTTGCTTGACATCTTTCTAGTTGACAAAACATGTTCACGTTCCCTGTAGCCTGGCCATATTCTGTACCAAACGGTCTTTTGCCCGCACAGCTTCTAAGGAAGCCATGGACCAGCAGTTCTGCCGCCAGGCGCGACAGCCCCGGCCGAGGTTTGCATCTATTCTTTGAGTGAGCCCTCGAGTTGCCGGAAAAGCACTGCTTCCCCATATTGTGGTCTTGCAGGTCCATACGCCCCAACATCATTTGCTCCAAAACCCACTGCTTCAGACTAGTGACCGGCATTGACAAGCCAAAACCCTGAAGCGTGGAGGCCGAAGAGCTGGAAGCGCTGCGACATGCTGCTGTGGGCTGTGCAAGGGAACAGGCTTGGTGCTGTTCAGTTGAAGGAGCTGGGTGCCCGATAAAAGAACCACATAAATCGAGCAAGTTGCCAAAGTCGGAGATACAGAGTGAGAAAGCATCGAAGTTTACCGCGACGGGCACATCCGATTTCTGGAACTCTTGACCCCATGCGAGATCAATCCGCGGCGCAGGCGAGAGCTGTGCACCTGGAGACGTTGTCAGACCCAGAGGCATTTTTGCGACTCTTGGCGACTTCGGTTCCAAGATAGCTCAGCCCCTGCCGGACTTGTCACTGCTGCGATCGAACCATCCCATCCCAAAATTTGTGACATCCTTCTTCTGAAAGGGTGCGTCTGCCCTCGTACAAAACTGTTTGGCAGGATGATGCCGACATACTTCGATCATCCAGGTCCCACCTCCCGACTGCCGAGTTTCTGTGGGAAACCAGTGCAACACCGAAAATGTGTTCCACAAAACACCTGACAAGTTGACCAAGCACAAGCTGGCGCACAGCTTGTGCCAAGGATACTTAGCACACGATCCTGTCCGAGCTTTGCGAGCCACCAGTCCGCGACCGGATTCCTCAGGATATTTCGATCCCAGGGCTGCGTCGACCAGACTTTATTTTTTCAAAGTACTCTGGTGAGATCTTTGAGGCTGCAGGGCTTGGCTTAGGATGTTCACAGCATGTCACAGCACAAGACTTCTACTTGTAGCCTGAGTTTCTGGGTTGTCAATGTTGTGTCGTTGTGCCCCGAACTGCAGAAGACACGTTGCAGTCCCTTGGTTTGACAAAGACGATCAAAGACCTAAATCCCTCATGCTTTTGCGCTGCACATTCCTCAGGCCACGCCTGCTATCATGAAGGCGGCTTGAATGAAATTTGGAGTCGGGAGTTGATGGAGTTGGTTGCGGGAAGTGCTGCTCTTTTTGGGTGAACCTGCTTGCCTCAATCTCTTGTTCGACCGTGACTTCGGAATCCCACGTATTACTCTGTACCATGGTCTTCCAGGGTCTAGATTCTGATTCCAGAAGTCTTCCTCCGCTACCGTTGGGAAGATCACGAGCGGAGGTCTATCGGGATTCTGCTGGTCCGGCGCAACGCGTTCTGCTCTTCGCCAAGCTGATGGGTTTGTCTGCCATGGTCGAGGGCTCAGAGGCATTTGCCACGGCTGCGGCCTTCTGATACTCCATGCTTTCCAAAACCCAGCGTGTGATAGAAAGTTTGCTTTCCGCGAATAGCAGGCTTGCAATTTTGCATCTCTGTCTCTGCCAGCACCGCGCTGGGCGGGTGCATTCGGGAAGCCCTCGTCATCCCTGTGTCTTCATGGGGTAGGCGTGACGTGGTGCTTTGGGCCTTCGGGCTTGGTCCCCAAACTTCTTCCTCCGGTCAGCCTTAGCTGTGAGGCCACATGACTACTCGGGGCCTTTGTTTCCAACATGCAATCTTTCTCCAGCATCATTTTTCGAAGCTGATTGTTGATTTTGTTGTGGCGCATGATTTGTTGAGCCCTGTCTCGGGGTTACTGGTTGCCAGTTCTGTGTCGTGAAGTCGAGATTTATTTGGATTTTGGCCACTGACAGCCAGAAAGGCCCGTCCAGCATGCGTCGCGTACGCTTCGCAACCCCTAAGCCAAACCTTCAGCAGACTCCCATTCGTGTGACAGCCGCGGCTATGAAGCTGGTGCAAAAAGTGATTTGGCCTACCCCGCATCCTGAATCGTGCCAGCTGACCGTTATTGTTTGTACCTTATTTACTTGAGATATTTCGCACGCCGCCGTCACCAGTGCTATCTTCCTCAATTTGTCTCAACGAGCGTCCGTTCTTGAAATCAGGCTTGTTCACACAGAAGCTGATCGGTTCCCGAATCCCGGGAAGCACGGCTTTTGCTTCACAGAAGTGCAGTTGCTGCTATGGTGGGGAAATCATATGTGGACACCTCAAATCAGCCGCCTCGCATCGAACAGGTACAGCTCGTGATATGTCCAAGGGTCTCTTGGAGTTCCAGCGGGGGAACGCAGTGTGAGTATAAACAACATCCAAGATAATCCTATCCCCCTAACATTAAACGGGGGGGCCCTGCAACAGATACTCGGAAAGTGTTTGTATTATTAACGGGGGTATTTTTTATCTCTACTCTCAGATTTGGGTACGGTTACGGCCGCTCCGCACAGGCAAAGCAGCCCTTTTAAAGAAACCTAAACCCTCAACCTTCAACCAAAAAATCCTAAAGCCTGACTTATTTTTTTCAGACAGACTGGCAGTCAGGCCTGCAGATTTAGGAAA